GTGTGCTCGCCAGACAGACAGAGAGACAGAGATATAGAAAGTGAGAAATCACCCCCCAAGGGGGATGGCCATGCCACAATCCCTTCTCCTCTCGGGATCTTGGGCACCCACGCACATGCGCCCGACGTGAGTTTAAGCCACCGGGTCCGCAACGCGAAACGTGGTCAACTATGTGGGAGTCCAGCGACATAGCCATTACGCTAACTGCTGGTCCCTTCCCTTGATTTTCTTCACTTGCTGTTGGTTTGTGTACCTTGTTCTATTGCTTTACTTAATAATTTCCTGTCTACATGCTTCTATAGTTCTATTTACAAAATTAATGTCTTGGACCAACAGATGGCATAATGGCTAAGTCACTGGACTCCCATGTAGTCGACCACAGTTCAAGTCACAGACCTGGTGGCTTAAATTCATGCTGGGCATGCGTGCATGTGTGCCCAAGAACCTGAGAGGAGAACGGAGGAGAACGGATTGAAACATGGCTATCTCCCTCCCACCCCAAGGGAGTGATTTCTTGCTTTCTGTCTCTGTCTCTCCGGCAAGTGTGCTTGTCTTATAGCAAAAATATCTCTCTCAAAAAAAATTAAAATGCATTTTAAAAGAGCTTGAGAAACTACTTAATAGTTAATCATGTACATATAATTTATATTTCCTTCATTGGAGAAAATTCTCTGAAATGTAATTTCAGAGATATCAAGTAGAAAATATTTTAGACAACCAATAACTGGAACTTGAGCTATGGACAAATGGAATTATGTCAGTTATTTATATTTTTTTTAGAGATTTTTGCCATAGGGTGTGTGTGCTGGCAGAGACACAGAGAGAGACAGAGAGAAACGAGAAGTCGCCACCCAGGGAGAATGGCCATGCCACAATTTCTTCATTCTCTTCATTCTCCTCTTGGTATTTTGGGCACTCATGCACACATGCCTAGCATGTTTTAAGCTGCTGGGTCCAACACTTGAGCCATGGTTGACCATGTGGAAATCCAGTACCTTAACCACTATACCACCTGCTGGCCTGCTCTCAGTTTTTAAGACTATTATTACAGTCCAGGTAGAGAAAAAATATTACAGGCCAGTTTTAGAAATATTAGTGACCCAAATATCATTCTTAATGTCTTCTTCCACCCAAACCATTTTTATCTCAAATCATCACTTCTCCCCTAATTTATTGCAAGAAAATTTTTCCTGCCTCCATGCCTCAGTCATTCTGGTTGTCATTCCCTTTACTGATCAAATTAATCTTAATTTTGGACACTGAATCATGTGGCTTCTCCGCTTAGACTTAATAAATCCCATCCTAATGAGACTCTCAAAACTCTAGAATTTTATCAGCCAATATTTCTAGGACTACAATGAATTATTAAGCATGATAGGAGATAGAGGGATTTTTTTTCCTCTCCTGGTTACTCATCTATATGTGAATAACCAAATTTAGTAATTTTTTACTCACACACATGCAATGTTTTCCTGGTTTGTATTTCAGAGAAAATTACACGTACTAGATTCTAATAAACATTATTTGAAAAAAAAAAAAGTAAGAAATACTGTGATCCAATTTCTACAGCCTTAAAAAGCTAATATACACTGGCAAATAGGGGCACATTGTTCACGAAGCATTTCCAAAAGTTATTAGACAAGGGAAATCTTTTCCTCCCTTTGTGAGGGAGGACAATTGGCAGTTTTCAAATCTTTTTTGTTCTACTGCCTCCTAAAATTTTGATGAGTGCTATACTCCTGCATATATTTAAAGTTCACACCTAAAATGTTTCAACTTTAATTAGTTGCATGGTTGTAACATCCAGCACTTGAAAATTGACATTTTAAAATAAAACCATTAAATTGCTTTTTAAAATGCATCCAATAGACTCTAAATATACTGATTTGCTATCCATAACTATCCACTTAAAATATCTGTGTACATGCTTTTCTTGAACATCTAGAAAGCGTATATATCTTTATCTCTTAAAATTTATATTCCTATTCTACTTTCCACACAGAATTTTGCTCTAACGTAATATGTCATATGTAAAACTCTTTTACTATATAGCAATGAGTTAACTCACATCCTCAGAAACCCGAACCGGCTTCTGCAAAGCAGGTGCCTTTTGCAATGCTCACTATTTCAGCTTACTGCATCTTGGACTACAACTTCTACCACTTGCATGAGAGAAAACACCCACCAAGCAAGCTAAGTGACACAATTTTACACTCACACACAAGGGACAATAGGCCTAGAATTTATGACAAAATCCTCCAAGGAAGCTGCCTAGGATGAATATAGTCTGGTCTGTGTGTGCTCTATTTGTGGAACTTCTGAGCAACCCCTAAAACAACCTTCCTTAGGGTCTTCATAATCTGGTGGTGAGATGAGATAAAGCATAGGAGATAGAAAGACATCATTTCTGTAGGCAGCAGGAGCAGAGCTTGGGCTGTTCTAGCTATTCCTTCCTTACCTCAAGACATTGTGTTTCGAGCACATTCTACAGTATTTTGTGAGCTATATACTAGAAAGGAATATAGAATTGGGTGGGACTAAAGTTCACTGGAGAACTGTCCTGTATTTTCCCATTCCCTTCCTAGTGAAGGGAAATAAAAAATTCAAGATTTTGTGATTATCAATGAATTTTCTACTCTTCTTTCTTGATATTACCTTTCATTTATTCTACTCATTAACCCAAGTGGAATTCTCATGATTCCTGTCCTTAAGTTGTTAAAGTATCTGTTTATAGAAACCCTTCTCTTTTTCCAGAATCCCTGTTCTCATCCTTTGTCTATATCCACTTTTTATCTGATTGCTGGGATTCTAAGTACTTCCAAAGCTCCACTCCAGGTTAATTTTTATACAATCATGAAAGCTCTCATTTGTTTTTTCCTCAAGCAGGATGTACTATCTCAGTCCCATTATAAAAATTTTCCACAAACAGTCTCATGACACCTCACATTTTTCCTCGTCACTTAGCTATATGTGTTTAGGTCTTACCACTTCTGCCTGAACATTGAGATCTTAAAGAGATAGGACATATGTCAATCACGTTTATATCAATCACAGTAAGAGCATAACGATTTTTCTTAATTCATCGATAGATGTAGTTATAGTTTGTCTCCTAAAAGTTTCTGTACTGGGAGCTTGGTTCCCAGTGTAATGGTGTTGACAGATACTGGGACCTTTATGACATGGGGCCTAGAAGCATCATCCTTATTGATAGATTAATATCTTATGTGAAAGAGGGAGTTTTCAACGTCAAGAGAATAGGTAATTCCCATAAGAGTGAGCTGCTAGAAAAGTAAGACGGCTGTTTGCAGTTCTCCCTCGCTCTGCACTAAGCTGTGGACCTTCCCGCTTCTGTCAGCCAGATTGTGACATAGCACTGAAGGCAACTAGTTGCCAGCCCCATGCTCTTGGACTTTCCAGCCATCAAAATTGTGAAACAAAGAAATCTCTATTCTTTTTGTTTGTTTTTGTTCTTTTATATAGTGTATATTTTCTCATATTACAAAAGCAATTTAGTGAAAGAGCCATCCTGTTGATATTTGAATCATATGAATAACACAAACAACTATACATTTAAAAAAATTTTTCATGAGAGTAACAAAACAAAACAAAAAGGCAAGGTAAACAACAAAAATTTTTCTGTTCTTACAGGTGGACATTGAAATGGACCTAATTCAGTTTTCTTTTTAAAAGGCTTCAAAGACAAAAGGGAGCGTAAACCTAATTAAAATGAATTAAAAAATTGTTCACTAAACTACTGGTCTCCCCTCCATTTTATGTTTTCTGTTGTTTGAATGCAGGTTCTTTCACCTTGCTCTTTTCACTGGGCGAGGTGGTTCAGATTCATCAAAGTCATCATTGCTGTCAAATTGGTTTTCTTGCCCTGAAACTGTACTTTTCCTTTAGCAGACCCAGGCTGAGCAGCGTTATTTCCTTTTCCTTTAAATTTGTAACCTTTTGACTTCCGTGTGTTTAGGGATTCTCGCTGATCTTCTATGATATTTTTTTCAGTGCTGCTTTCTCTACCACTCCTTCTAGGACTTCCCAAGTGACTGCTTTGTTCCTTAATTGTAGATTACCATCATTTGCACCTTGGGCTTTTTCTAGAGTTTTCTTGTCTTTTTCTTCAAACAGAATTAGAATTGCACCCTCTTTTGCTCCTCTGATAAAGTTAATCCATTTTATTTCACCATGATTTGAGAAAAATATGTGCAAATCTTCTCTACAGGTCTGATCATCTAAAAATTTCAGCCAGAATCCAATCTTTTCTTCTAGAGATTTTATTTCAGCATCTTCTGCTAACTTCTGTTTTATTTTTTTTCCTGCTCCTGTTTAGCTCTTAATTTTGTTTCTACTTTACACTATCTTCTTTTTGCATTTTTTTTTCAAAGTAATCTTCCTTGAAAAGTATTAACGTCTCTGTGTCTTAAACTTCTGACCAGGAGTCTCTACCAACTTCTTTACAGATACAGTGTTTTCAAACATAGCAAATAGTGATCCCTTAAATGTTTTCTGCAATATTCTTCTCATCTGAATATTTAGTATTTCACCTTTATCTTCTAACCATTCTTTTATATCAAGGGTTGCATCAGTTGGGAAGCCTTTAATATAAACAGATCTGTTTTTAACATCATTTTGATACTCAGTCAGTCACTTCAGAGAAGGACTTGTTTGGAGACCTCCTGATTTTAGTTTTATCTCACTGATTTCCATGAGTTCTGCCTTGGATTTCCTCAGTGTTTCTACTATTACATTAACGTCTGTGGTTAGACAGTTTATCATATTGAATTTTACCATTATCTCCAAAAGTATCCGGCCTTCATCCAGTTTTATCTGTTCCTTTAAAAAGTTTTCCTGTGGCAAATCGAAGTCTCCAAAATAATAATCTGATGACAAATTTTGGCCTCCAAAGCAGCCATTTTTTCATTATCACCATTTTCAGCCATTGTGGCTATCTTTAGGGCCTGGTCCCACAGAGGCACCCAACAGGCTCACTAACAACCATGGCAACGCTTCCACTTCCCAGCGATACTCACTGGCCTAGTGCGCTCAAAGCAAAATCTCTATTTGCTGTAAATCACCAGTCTGAGGTATTTCTTTTTAACAGCACAATAACGCACTGGCAGACTTTTATAAAAAGGGATAAATAAGGTACAGACCTTGAATTCTCAATTGGTAAAGGACATTTTACCAGTTTGCATTGCAACAATATTGCTGATTAAAAAAAGAATGTCAAAATATCTAAGAATTACCACGACGTACATTTGTTGTTCTTGCTTCTCAGTGTATGGGTTTATTGGCTAATTCAGCAGAGGCTGGCTCCAGACTGCAGGGCAGGTCTGAGTTTTTGTGACCTAACTGATTCAGAGAAGGCAAAAAGCTAGGAAATAAATACACATAGCCTACTTTGGAAAAATTCTTAAAGTATGAGAATAGCACAGAGTAAGACTTTAGGATCAAGAATTCTATCTGCTGTGGTCACACAATTGTTAACTGTATAAAAAGAGGTAGAAAGATCTGAAAAAGAAAAATTACTTTTTCTCAAAAAAATTTTTCCACAAAGAAGTTGTTTTTAGTACTCACTTTCTAGGGTGAGCTATCTGTTGGAACTGTGTGCTGAGGAACACATCATGAGAACAGAGGCTATTGTTCACAGGCAAAAGAGAGAGCATTGGATGAGGTTCCTGGAGAGCTATTTGGTGCTACAGGCCAGCAGGTGCAGCATCTGTGGGAAGGCAGGGAGCCAGTGGGCCACTCTGTCATGTTCGATGCACACCCCACTCCTTGACAACCTATTTGATCTTTACTTTGAGATAATACACTACCTCCACTGAATTTAACTTCAATGTTAATGTTTTATGAAAATTGTCCTGCTAACTGTATTATTTGCTTAATAAGTGTTTTTGAATAAAGGACTATGCAAATGAATAGTTTCTTCTCTGCTCCTTTCCTTTCTCTTACTTTTCCTTCTTTCTTTTCCTTATTTATTACCAGCGTATCCCCTTAAAGGAATAGACTATCTGCAGGATTACTGTAAATACAGTAGAGTTACAAATTATTGGGTCATCAGAAAAGTCATGATAAGTTTTTTTTTATGTTTTTCTATACAAAAATATGTCATGAATTTTCTGATGACTCAATATTTATACATAAAAAGTGAAACAACTAATAATATAGAGAAAACAGGGCCAGTAACATAGAGCCATGGTTAAGTACTGTTCTTTGGGAGCCTAGATTCCACATGGTCAACTACAGTTCAAGTCCCCACCTCGTGACCTATAAAACACACCAGGCATATGTGCGTACATGCCCAAAATACTGACAAGAAGGAGAAATGGAAGAAAAACGATTGCGAAGTTACCATGCCCTGTTGGGAGATTCTTTCTTTCTCTCTGCTTCTCTCTGGTGACCATATATCCCCTTGGGCAATCAATATTAAAAATAAATCAATAAAAAGAGAGAGCAAAAAAAAAAAGCAAAAACAAAATGCTGAAAAAAACAAAAGCAGAATTGACTCAGCCTGTTTCATTGCCTTTGACTGTGCCCAGACAAGCTATTTGCATCTAGAACAACTCCAGGCTGGGTAGCATCAGCATATGGCTCCAGCCTTTAGTTAGCATGGCTCACTCGTCCAGATCAGTGTGTTCGGACACCCCTCCACAGCAGTAGCTGTCCTGGGGCTCCAGTGCAGCTTGTGAAAATGGAGCATTAGAGGCCACTGGCTTCAGCCTAGTCCTCTACTGCCACCTGTGAGCTGGAAGCAGCCAGCACAGTGTGTTAGACAGGCTGCTCCACTGCCCTGGACAACAGGCCAGGGGCACACCTGGAGGAATATTAGAAAGGGAAACTGGGTGGGTGACAGGGGCCAGAGAGAACAAGCTAATTATCTCCCTTGCCCCACAGAACTTTCCCTTGTGAGCAAATTCAAAGACATTTGATGATGAAGTGTAAAGGAAGGAGAATCACTGAAGGCCATCCCAGGGCTTCTGAAAGCCCAGTAAAGCAGCCCTGCATCTTGGATTAATTCACACAGTAGAGATATTTTGAGATTACTCACTAGTTCCAGCTAAATAGAAAGGGTGTCCTTAGGAGTGAAAGTAGTCTTTTCTCTACTTCATTGATTCTAACTGTATTTCGGTAGCATATGCAGCATGAACTTATAAAGTCCTGCTAAACAGAATTCCCATTTAACAGAAAAGGAAAATTGAGTGACAGAGAGTGTAAGTAATCTGGAAGTATCAGATCATCTGGATCAGGTAACTAAGACTGGAAGTAAACTCCCTAAGGAAAGTTGCACTTTGCAAATTGTATTGCTAGCTATTTTTGAATATATCAGTTTATTGTAAAATGAACATTATAATTATAGCATTTGTCAATGAAGTATTATTTCAGGAAAGTTCTAATTTCAAATATTCTATCATATGCTATATCAGACAATATGCTTTGATTTTGAGGTCAGAGGAACATGTTGGCTTTGTTAGTTACTCCATCCCAGAGACAGGTGGGACATATGCCTGTTGACATAATCCCGGGGCACAGCAAGAAACACAACCTCTGTGCTCACAGATGTTAAGGATGCCCAGGAAAGACTCTCACAGTCAGCAGAACACGCTCAGCCCATGATAAGATGTAGAAATGCAGCAATATAGACACAGTCAATAATAACAGATTCAAATAGTATTCTCATAGAATTCCTGAGAATGTGCTTTTGTTTGCTTTATATTGTTTCATTTTTTTCTAGAGATTGAGTAGCACTACATCACTTTTTAATATTACATGAAAATTTTTATATGAAAAGCAAAAGGTGCTAAGGGAATTCAGATATTCTTCCCTCTGTAATGGAGGCAGGATAAATATGCATTAAAAAATTCACTGAAAATAAGGCTAAGGTAAGGAATATACTAGAAGAACAAAGAAAGCCCATTGAATCAGCAAAGCATCTTAATATTGTGCATAATGTTTTGGTACCAGGTTACAAAGCATGATTTTTCACTCAGTCTGTGAAACACGAATACAGTCTCCCAACCTCTCTAGGATTTTGGTTTCTTGATTAGTAAAAGGAGGTTTATATCCCTCTACTTTAAATCTCATAAAATTATTATATCATCATCAATAGACTAGATGAAAACAACTTGTAAAGTGGAAAATATATTACAAATTGAAATTTTCTCATTTTGTAATAATATAAATAAGGAAACAGGAAAGCTCTATCTACTTAGAGAAGGTGGGATTTCAAGTTGCCCTTCGGAAGGAAAGCTTTCAAATGGCAATGAAGAGAACAGAAAGGTGCTAGGGGATTCCAAACATAAAGACCAGGGGCCCTCAGTGGATTTGACTGCGTGAAGGACCTGGCAATGTTGGAGGTAGTTGTGACAGCCGTGACTGGTAGGTAGTGTAACTGGCACCTACTGGGCCCAGGCCAGCAATGCCATCAATGTGCTCCAATATTAAGAACGGCACCCAAGATAAAGACTTTTTCAGCCCCAAATAACAGTGCTGAGAGTAAGAAACTCTATGACAGAGCAGGTCAGTTGAGTAACAGATCAGTAAAGAAGATTAAATTCAATTATGACTGACCATCACTATCTTTTCTAGTAACATTTCATTACCTTTTGCCATCACTATCTTTGCCAGTGGTATTTCGGAGCCCATTGAGGGTAGAACATGTGGGAGTTGAGATGACTTATCCCTTTGAGTTAGTTATGGTATTGCAATTTTCTATATTCCACAGAACAGGAGCAGAATAAGGGATGCCAAATATGGGGAGAAGAATGTAAGAACTAGTGTGTGATTCTCCATGCTCCCTGTCTTCTTTTCTGTGTGATATGAACAGGAATACCTTCCAGGTGCTGCAGGTATAGGATGGCAGAGTTTCCTGACTGGCATGAGAATGCCCCACTGGATCCTACCTGGCCATTGAATGAATATGTGTGATACTGAGCCAGTCCACACCTTCTCTGGACTCCAATCTCCATACACTTAAAAATTTAAAATAGCTGAATCTCCAAATTTCCTTAGAATTCAACATTCTATGAGTAAATTAATATTTGAAAATTTATCATAAAACACTCATTTTTTTTTGAACTTTTTACCTGAATGTTTGGAATTATGGAGATATGTTACTGGATTGGCGTTAAGCAACCAAATGCTTACATAACTTGGGACATTGGTCTCAGATTATATCTCAGGCTGCCCTGACATCTTATTGCTTACTGAGTAGTAACATCTCTTTAAATATTAGGAAAGTATGAAGGTTAAAAAAAGATCTTAACTGCTAACGAAAATGCAGGTGTGTAAGACTCATGTTTTTGGTTTGTATTACCCAGGTAATTGAAGAGCAACTTAACATAAAGAAACTAAATTCCAGAGTCTGTACAACTTTTCCAGAGTTGCTTGGTTTGCGAGTAATGTGCTGTAGCTTGTCCCTTGGCTCTGCTGTGCTATCTCGACACTGCATTACCTTGGTGACTTCATAGAACTGTATATTACTATCATCCATATTTCACCTTAGTTGTATTTTTATCTTGCTTCCATCTCAGTGTGCACTCAAAGAATGAGAGGACTAGAGTCCTCATTTTTCACTCCTTCCTGCATTGTTATCATTATTTTATACCTTAAAAAATTGTCAGAAGGTTCATGTACTGGCCAGAGAGAGACAGGAAGAGAGAGAGGAAGAGGAAAAGTGAGAAAGCACCCCCCTCCTGGGGGATAATCACATCACAATATCTTCTTTTCCTTTTGGGATTTGGGGTGCACATGCACCTGCACTTGGGATGTTTCTCAAGCTGCCAGTCCAAAATTTGAACTACAGAAGGTGGCCATATGGAATCTAGCCACCTTAACCATCATGCCACTGGTGGGCTCTATCATATCTTTGATGCCAAGGTAATTATCCATTAGCATACAATGGTAAGTAAGTCAGAGACTCTGTGTTCTATTTAAGCAGTTTTCTCAGTGGTAGCATTTTGTTAGCTTTTGTGCCATATCTTGATAAAGAAATTGATGTTAGGCAGTCACAAAACAGAACTGCTCCACAACCAGAAAGAGCCTTCATGTATTCTGTGATGGCCATACCCCCCCTTCTCTTCCACTCCTTCTCTCCTTAGTTCCTGGCACCATTAACCCATGTTTCAAAGACACATTTCTACAATTTTGTAATTTCAAGAATGTTATATAACTGGAATTATACAGTATGTACATTTTGGGATTGGCTTTTTTGCTCAGCATAATTCCCTGGAGGTTTATTTAAGTTATTAAGACCATCAATAATTTGTTTCTTTTTATTTATGAGTATTATTTTGTGGCATGGTTGTGCTGCAGTTTGTTTAACCACTCATCCATTAAAGAACATCTGTGTCATATCAAGTTTTTGTGTATTATGAATAAATCTGCTAGGAACATTCATACAGATTTTTATCTGAACATAAAAACTAAATTTCATTTATCTGCAGACACCCAAGAGTACACTGTTGTATCATATGATAATTATCTATCTATCTATTTATTTTACTGCCACAGGCACATACAATTACCCAGAAGAGACAGAGAGACAGAGAAAGACCAAGAAAGAAAAGGGAAAAAGCTTTCCCCTCTCCTGGATGAGGCATAGGTATGCCATACTCTCTTCTCTTCAATTTCTCCATACTGTCAGGATTTGGAAGCTGCATGCACATGCACCCAGTGTGTTTTTAAAGCTGTCAGGCAGGGATTCAAACTTTGACAGTTGTGGGATCCAACTTCCTTAACTACTAGGCTAAGGGTACAGCTCTACATATTTAGTTTTTCAAGAAAATACAAAACGTATTCTCTGAGAGACTGAACTATTTTACATCCTCACCAACAGTGTGTGAATAATCCAGTTTCTACACATACTTGCCAGTATTTGATGACATCATCACACACACACACACACACACACACACACACACAAACATACATACACACATCAGTTATTTAATTAGATTCTTCACAGGAAATGTAGAACACCAATTTGTGAGGAGAAATTCCATTTGTAAGGACAAACAAGAATTGCAGGTAGCCCTGGAATGGTCGTTATTTGTATTTTAGTCAATATAACATGAGTATAGTACTATCTAATAATTGTCATTTGTATTTCTGTAATGACTAATAATATAATAATATCAAACATTTTTTCATGTACTTATTTGCTCCCAAAATAGCTGTTGAAGATCTTTCATAATTTTCTAGTAGAATTTTTATTTTTTATATTAAGGTTTTGGTTTTTTGTTTATTTATTTATTTCATTTATATTCCAAAGATTAGTCCTTTGTCAAATATGTGGTGTGTAGATATTTTTATTTTGGTCTACACTTGTTTTTACTTGCTTTTTTACTCCCCCCCCCCCGAGAGAGATTTTAGCTATAAGGCATGTGCACTTGCCAGAGAAACAGAGACAAGGACCAGCAGTTAGCGTAATGGCTATGTCGCTGGACTCCTATGTAGTCGACAGTGTGATTTAAATTCACGCCGGGCACGTATCCGTGCATGTATCCATGCATGCCCAGGATCCTGAGAGGAGACTAGAGGAGAAGGAATTGCAGCGTAGCCATCCCCCCAGGGGGGTGATTTCTTGCTTTCTGTCTCTCTGTCTCCATCTTTCTGGTGAGCGCACATGCCCTATGGCAAAAATCATTCCAAAAAAAAAGAAAAGAAACAGAGAGATAGACAGTGAGGAATCAACCCCTCCCAGGGGGAATGGTCACACCAAAACCCTTTGTCCTCCATTCTCCTCTTGGGATTTTGAGCATGCACACACTTGCTCCCAGAGTGAGGTTTAAGCCACCAGGTCTGGGCATGAACTTACATTGACTACGTGGGAGTCCAATGACATAATCATTACACAATCTGCTGGTCCCTATACTTTCCTTTTTTTTTTTTTTTCTTTTTTTTGGAGAGGTTTTTGCTATAGGACGCATGCACTCACCAGAAAGACAAAGAGACAGAAAGCAAGAAATCACCACCACCACCACCCCCCAGTGGGGATTGCCACATTGCAAAACCTTCTCTTCCATTCTCCTCTTGGGATCTTAGGAACACATGCACATGTGCCCAGCGTAAGTTTAAGTCACTGACAGGGACTCGAACCACGGTCAACTACATGGGAGTTCAGTGACATAGCCATTACACTAATTGCTGATCCCCTTATACTTGCTTTTTAAAATACTCTTAACATGGTTTTTTACAGCTCAAAATTTTGGATTTTGATGAGATTCAAAATCTATTAATTTTTTATATTCATTTCTATTTTAATTTTTATTTCTTTTTTTTCTTTTTCTTTTTCTTTTTTTTTTTTTTGAGAGGTGTTTGCTATAGGGTGTGTGTGCTCACCAGAAAGACAGAGAAAGACAAAGAGACAGAAAGCAAGAAATCAAACCCCCCCCCCCCCGAAGAGATCGCAATCCCTTCTCTTCCATTCTCCTTTCAGGATCTTGGGCATGCACGTACATGTGCCCGGCATGAGTTTAAGTCACTGAGTCCAGGACTAGAACCATGGTCGACTACATGGGAGTCCAGCTACATAGCCATTACACCAATTGCTGGTCCCTATTTTTATTTTTTCTTATTTTTATATCCAATCACTGTTCTTTCTGTCTCTCTGAGAAAGAATAACAGATCTCATGTTCTTTCTCAATTAATATTAAATGTTGATACATTTGTGCTATGTTTCATATTTTCTCCTAAACAGTATTTATGTTCTTATATTTCGATCCTATGTTAACTTGCTTGTGAAGAAATAAATCCAGAGCAGTAAAGAAATACTACCATGAAATAGTACTATCTTTACAAGCTTGTCTTTCTTTGATGCTTTAATGCCATATTGAGAAAAAGTAACAAGCTTAGTAACAAGACTCTGCCTGCTGATGGGAACTGCATTGCTCTATCTCTTCCCTACCTGTGACACTTGGTATTTACATCAAGTGGTTGAGTCTGTCCCTTGCTTTCCCTGCCCCTGAGTGCCATTATTTTCTGTTGATTTCCCCTGCTACTGAGTGGATGTAGTTGGAGTTAAGCAAAGAGTATATATTAGATGAACTTTGTAAGAATTTCAAAACTTGTTTCAAAGACATAGCTGTCATCTTTGCTCATCTTGTGCTTAATTGAAACTCCTCTGCTATTTCCTCAAAACTCTGTGTTCCATTTCCACTTTCAAAGGCACACATAAAAATCAAGTTTCCCCACATCAGATAGACAAGATGACAACAAAGCTGCATGAATTTCATCATATAATCACAGGTCCCTGCATCTGAAAAACTTGACAAAGTTGGGACCAGCAGTTAGTGTAATAGCTATGTCGTTGGACTCCCACGTTGTGGACCATGGTTTGAATCCCGGACCCAGCAGCTTAAACTCATGCTGGGCACGTGTGCATATGTGCCCAAGATTCCGAGAACAGAATAGAGGAGAAGGGATTGTGGCATGGCCATCCCCCCTGGGGGATGATTTCTCTCTTTTTGTCTCTCTGTCTCTGTCTTTCTGGTGAGCACATGAGCCCTATAGCAAAAACCTCTCAAAAAAAAAAAAAAACAACTCAACAAACAAAGTCATCCCAAGCTTTAAGTTCTAGGAACTTAGATTTCTTATTCTTTCTTGTAATTCTTCCCTTTTAATGAAAAAGATTTTCTCTAACATTCCTTACATTACATCCTGCCAATGCCTTATTAATATTGATTTTTTTGAAAAATGAGTGTGTGATCTGTTTCCCCTGATTCTTCCTTTGTGACATAAATGTTTATGCAAACATATTTTGGTCCTTGTACCTGGTGATAATGTTAGAAAATTTTGACTTTTCTTACAGTCAGGTTATCTGGTTTAGGGACCTGATGTTTCTCTCAGATAAGGACACTCTAAGAGATAGCCTCATGCAGCTTTTATCAGACAATCTGAGTGTTTGAAACTGTATCCTGGAAATTGTGCAGGATATTGAAGTTTTTGCTGCTCTTTTTGGGTCCTAACCCTATACTTATCTTCATGTCATAAATTTATTCTTTATTACGTGTTCCTTTTGATTAGATGCTACAGGCAAACTTCTCTAAAGGTAAGTCTTTACAATGTCTTAAAAGTGAACTTCTTTTCAATATAAACCAGGACAACATATTTTAGTGACAAGTAACATCTGACATTTATCACTGGAATAATGAAACCCATTATAAATTTATGGGACAATTCTCTCTAATCACAGGTAATGAAGGCTTAGAAACATAACAAAAAATTCTTTTAGATCCTATCCATGCTAGACAATTGTCTTAGTATTACAGAAAGATACTTTCAAGGTTATTATATTTATTATCTTGATTTTTAAGTAGGAGATTGAGAATAGTATTAGTGAGTGCTTTAGAGATTTTGTAAGGAGCACATACCAGGGTACAGCAGCCTTCATGAATCCACCTATAGCAATCTAGTTTTATAACCTGTGTCTTTAAAGTTAAGGAGGTTGCAAGGCAAATGATGTGTGTGTGCACATGTTCACCTGTCCACACTCTCATGTGACTAAGATTAAACATGTCAATAGAAAAAAGGGCTTCACCATATATATTTTCCCATAAAAATATTATTTTAGAGATTTTATACTTGAAAGACAATTATTGGATTATCCATCTTAAAACTTTTTATTTTACAAATAAGGAAATTAGGCATAGATTGGCTAAATTGCATTGCTAAAGTCACACCATCTATTTAAAGCAGAATTATATGAAGAAATTACCAAATATTGATAGGTTTTTCTGCCTAGACTTTTGATTTTTACTCTTAAAACAGCTGTTCTAGATCAGAATGATGTTTCGTTTTTGTTTCTGCTTTTGTTCTTTTTGCTTTTGCTATAAGGCACATATACTTACTAGAAAGAGACAAGAGAGAAGGGAAGTGAGAAATCATCTCTAACAGGGATGGCCTTGCTTCAGTCCCTTCACCTCCAGTCTCCTATCAGGATATTGGGCGTGCACACGCATACACACACACACACACACACACACACACACACACACACACCTGGTGATTTTCTACTGGGCAGGACTTGAGCTCCTTAGCTGTTCTTACAGAACACAATACCTTAACCTTCATGCAACCTGTTGGACTCCAGAATGAAATTAAAGAAAGAATAAGGAGGAAGAAAGAAAGGGAGAGAAGAGAAGAAGAAAGAAAAAAAAAAAAAAAAAAAAAAAGAAAGAAAAAGAAGAGAAGAGAAGAGAAGAGAAGAGAAGAGAAGAGAAGAGAAGAGAAGAAAAGATCTTTCATGTTTATCTTTGCCTATAATTACCAAGCTTATCAGCATAGTATAAAGCCAGCCATAGCATCCTGTCTGTTTACCTTCTGTGGCCACAGTTCTCATTGTTCACCAACTCTATTTACATACTTTTCACATTTTGAATGAGGATTGCTGAATTTTGCCACTCTCAACATATTGAACTAGACATTGTCTGGGAACAGGAGCATCTTTGTACACTGTAGGAGGATTAGTGGTGTCCCTAGCACCTATTTGCTATATAAAAGTAGCAGCCCTATACCCACCACCCTGCTGTGACAACAAAAATTATTTCCAGAGGTTGCAGTGCCACTGAGGGTCAAGTGGGCCCCCCTCTACCATATTAGAAATATATCTTTGGCATAAAGAACTATGGGATGAAAATAATTTAAAATGTTCAGGTCCCCAGACATTGATTTACAGTACCTTAATATTTATTCTCTTTCTGAACAGAACACTTTAACTGCCTACCTGTTAAAAACAACTCATATTTCAAGATTCACACTACTACTACTGACCTCCTTCATGAAGTTTCTTTCACCACCAGTTCTTCATTCAATACCTTTCTTTCCCTTTTCTGAGGCACCAAATTACCTTCTGTAATTTTCTAGAAAATAATTTTTGACACTTTATTTCAGCAGTCTTCAACCTTTTTGGCATCAGTGACCAGTTTTGTGAAAGATAGTCTTTCTACGGGAAGTGGACCATAGTTTAGGGTTTATTGAAGCATATTATATTTACTGTGCACTTTATTGTTACATATAATGAAATAATTATACCACTCCATAATGTGGAATCAGTGAAAATCCCAAGCTTGTTTTCTTGCAACTAGACAGTTCCATTTGGGGGCACCTATGGGAACCTAATGCCACTGCTGACATGAGGAGTAACTGTAAATGAAGATGAAGCTTTGTTCACTTGCCTGCTGCTCACCTCTAGCTGTAGCTTCTTTCTTAACAGGCCACAAATATTGTACTCACTAGTAATCATGTACATCACATTTGTTATTGTTGTCATTGCTGTTATAGGGCGCATGTGTTTCCAGAGAGGGAAAGTGAGAAATCCACTTTATTCTTCTCCTGGGATTTTTAGGTATGCATGCACGCATGTCTGGCATGATTTTCAAGCTGCCAGATCTAGAACTTGAGCCATGATCAGCGATGTGGGAGTCCAGCACCTTAATCACTACGCCACCTGTTGGTCCCCATGCATCACACTTTCAAACTCTAAATAGGTGGAAGGTAGAGACCATTCAGATTTATTTGTGATACCCCAGCCAGTGCTTTCCATATATATGGATTTTAAAGCATTTTCTTTCAGTGAGGGAGTGAAAGAATAGTTATATTAATGGAATAAGGCTGCTAGTGGACAAACATTCCATGTAGCTCATTAGACATGTATAAATCTAGGTTCTATTAGCAAAGTATTAATATGTTTACCAAATAATCAACCAAATCAGAACCTAAGAGGGAATACAAAAATCATGCATGACAGCTTGATAAAAACAACTGGAAAAAAAGTTTCTCTTATGCTGAGAAAGCATCGTACTTACATTCTTTTCTATTTGAACTCATCTGGGCACATCTCCCATATGCACACTTAAGTACTGGTCAAGAAAGATTTGTGAATGCTATCATCTAAGCAGGGCATGCAAGCGCTTTTCCAGGAGTTTTCAGAAAAAGAAAAGCATACATGTCAAGGAGCACACACCGCATCCCTTCTGCACTAAAAGGCAAGGAGAGGCTCAATATGTAGTATAGTCCTATCGCTAATTGAATCCTTCACTTGCTTTGATTGACCTAACCCAAACTCTATCCCAGTAACCTAGGAGTAGTTTTCAGTACTTTGATAAATGCTTAGTTCTTACTGATTATATCTATTTTATTAGGATATTTGTGGTATCTAAGGTTGCAAATCCCTTATCTATTTTTTCACTTTGCAACTAGTACGTATTAAGTTTCATCAAATGTTGGCCTTAAGAATCTCCCACAAGTCAGGGGCTGGCAGGTAGTGTGGTAGGTAAGAGCCCTGGAATCCCACATGGTCAACTGTGGTTTGAGTCTGGGACCTGGTGGCTTGCTTGCTTTCTCTCTCTCTCTCTTTCTCTCTCTCTCTTTCTCTCTAACCCTCTCTGGTCAAATTAAAATAAATGAATAAATAAAGTTAAATAAAATAACTCTTTTTAAAAAGAATATACCACAAGTCAACCTTAAAAATTAATGATTAGGCACACATTTTTAAGGCTGAGCCATGGTGGATGCTTCGAGGGCAGTGGATCCCCAGCTTGTGAGCCCCACGCTACCTCTCAGGGGAGTCTGAGCTGTCTATGCAGCTTTCTCCCTTTGTCTCATAACCGTGTCCACCAATGGGAATGCTAATTCACCAGTTGCCCGTCTTAACAGATTCAAGAACAAGGGAAAAGCCAGTACAAAAATGAGGCAGCAAAGAATAGAAGTTAATGTGGAGCTGAGGAAAGCTCAGAAGGATGACCAGATGCTGAAAAGGAGAAATGTAAGCTCATTTCCCGATGACGCTACTTCTCCACTGCAGGAAAAACGCAACAACCAGGGCACTGTAAATTGGCCCGTTGGTGACATTGTCAAAGGCATTAATGGCAACAATTTGGAAAGCCAGCTCCAGGCTACTCAAGCTGTTAGGAAGCTACTTTCTAGGGAAAAACAACCCCCCCGTAGACAGCATCATCCAGGCTGGGTTGATTATAGTCCCATCCAGTTTGAATCTGCATGGGCAGTCACTAACATTGCTTCTGGGACGTCAGAACTGACCAATGCTGTGGTGGACGGAGGTGCTATCCGTGTTCATTTCTCTTTTGACCTCTCCCCACACGCACATCAGTGAACAAGCTGTGTGGGCTCTAGGGAACATCGCAGGGGATGGTTCAGTTTTCTGGGACCTGGTTATCAAGTATGGAGCAGTTGACCCGCTGTTGGCTCTCCTTGCAGTTCCTGATATGTCATC